TAGAAAAAAATACACACATATGAAATCTACCCTCTTAAATTTTTAAGTGTTCAGTACAGTATTCTTTATAAGCACAATGTTATATAGTTATTTTTATAAGTTTCCATACTGAATAACTGAATGTCTTTTGTGATAGCACTTTTATAGAATTTTGATAACAATTGAAACTCTGTATGCATTGATCAGCCACTCCTCCTTTCTTCCTCACCCCAGCCTCTGGCAACCACCTTTCTTATTTCTGCTTCTATGGCTTTGATTACTATATGGATATCTCATATAAGTAGGATCTGAAGCCATTTCACTATAGAACACGTCGGAACACTCACAGCATATATATGTAATGATCATATATGTAAGAACATATTATTTATTGAAAGAAGCTGAATTCCCATCAGATCTGCCATCAGTGGTTGAATAGTTTGGTATGACATAGTTATGATTACCAAGCTTGTATTAATATAAAAGAGTAAATATTTATGAGATGTAAAGATAAAATTTCAAATTAAAATAAATATTTTGAAATTACAGGCATAGTATGGAGGAAAAGAAAACAGCTTTTATAGTCAGATGGACATAAATTTGATTCCCAATTTTGTTTCTTAGACAAGTTGCTCTAATCAGCCAAAGTAATATATTGAATCTTTCTAAATTTTACTTTTCTTTCTTTGAAAAATGTCTTTTGTCATATCATTTTATAGAATTTTGATAATTGAAATTATTATCATGTATTGCAAAGAGTAGCCAATAAGTCAATAAATTGTAGCTCTTTTATAATTATCAATAATGAATGTGAATTCCACAGATAATGTGTTTTATTACTGCTTAGACTCTGCCTGGACTGGGTCTCCAGTAAATGATATACAGTAATATAAAAGCTCTGGTCCGTGATTAATAATTATCAATAATGAATGTGAATTCCACAGATAATGTTTTATTACTGCTTAGACTCTGCCGGGGCTGGGTCTCTAGTAAATGATATACAGTAATATAAAAGCTCTGGTCCATGATTACAATCATGTTTTGACATGCTTTATGAGCTCTCTTTATATGAATTTTTGATAATATGCTTTCAAAATTATTGGCAGATCTACTCTTTGTCTGTACTTCAAGCTGGGTAATGGAAAATGATTTATACAGTTTTATTGAATTTACAAGGACTAGAGTAAGCCATGCTAATTATTGCTATGTCATTCTTGCAGGCTAGCAGGAACTGAGACAAAACATAAGCCAAACTAAACATAATTAGCATTAAATTGGCTCAGGCATGAAATATAATCAAATGGGTCCTGAAGTGTCTTATTTTTTGTCCATAAAAAAGTTTCATGCTTGTTTGCAAGCATTCACTTTAATTGCTTTCCCCCTATTTTCCTGAAATACGGGAGGTGTGTTAGGTCCCTATCATATTTCTCAAATAACATTTTTGTTATTGACATTACAACCTACAGTGTCATAAATAATTAATCTGACTTTAAAACTAGGTGATGCTATCTATAAAATCTTACAGGATGAATACCAGTTGCCCATCTCCTTAAAAAGTAATCATTTTTTCTTTCCAAATGTATATTATTAAATGTCCATGAGTTTTCTGATCAGTTCATTCTCTTTAGAGTATAAAGTCTTTCTTCTAAGCTCAGTAAATTTGGGTTGAATTTAAAGAACAAATTTACCCCAAAAGAGATATTTTTACGTGGGAATTCTATCCAATCCCTGTTCATTAAACCTTGGGTGAGCAGTACCATTACTGTAAGAAGAGAGTCTACAAAATTAGAGGGTAGGCAGAAAAAAATATATAGGCAAAGAGAGAAGGAACAAAGTTTTATAAGTAGAACTCACTATAGGGAACGTGGCAGAGACATAAAGAACGTGCGGTAGAGTAAATAATAATAGACGTAAATTAAGATTTTGCTTTGATGGATAAGGCATCTGCTCTTGTGGTAGGAGCTGAGAGGTGCCAGTGAAGCAAAGCTAGTCCTGGATATCTGCTGGAATTCAGATCTTCCCTATCTTTACAGTAAGATAACTCCCTCAATGAATTTCTGTAAGTGAAAGAAGAAATCAGGCAGAGTCAGAGGGATTCCTGGAATCACAGGCTGACTCCAGGAAAGCATGGGTCTCCTTCTGATTTGACCAAGCTACTGTTTGCAGCAAGTGCAATGCCCTTTGGCTCTGTTAGCTGTACATTTTTTTAAAAATGTGGTTAATCCTCACTTGAGGATAATTTTCCATTGATTTTTAGAGAGAGTAGAAAGGAGGGAGGGAGTGAGGGGGGAGAAAGAGAGAGAAAGGAGAGAGAGAGAGAGAGAGAGAGAGAGAGAGAGAGAGAGAGAACGTTGGTGTGAAAGAGAGATTGGATGCCTCACACCTTGACCAGGGCAGGGAATGAACCTGCAACCCAGGTGAATCCCCTTGACAGGGAATGGAATCCTCCATCCTCAGTTCCCTGGCTAACCACAGAGAAACACCATCCAGGGATATTAACTGTAAATTTATTGAAATACTTCTATTGTGCTTGATTAAAAGCTGGTGACTGGACCCCAAGGTGTCCCTACTATCTGCCTGCTCAGCTCCATCCCTGGGTACTTCTGACTTCCTGAAATGGGGCAAATAAAAGGGTGATGTCTGGTACAACAGGACATTCCAGGACATTCTAGCATATGGCATGTGTAACTTCTGTCACATAGGTAACTGCCAAAGCAGTTATCAGATATGTTGGCTATTCCCCTTAGGGAATATATGTTAATTCCGGACTTTTGAAAGAAAAGGGACTTCAACATTAACAAAAGACTGAAACGGGCTCTGATAAGTAAGAAAGCGACTTAAAAGGACCCAAAGCAGAATTTTTGTCTAAGAGTTTGCGTGAATTCCATTAAGACGGGTGTGACAATATCATTAAAATAAGGTTAAATTGGAAGCATTACTCTATTCCTGAACTTAGATTACATATATACTAAGAAAAAAACCCATTTATAATCTTTTCTACTCTTGTGCTGTCAAAGCCATTTACAAATGCAATATGAATCTTTTCTTAAAAAAAAACAACACACAAAGATACTGTATTTCCAGTCAGTTTTAAAATCAGTTTTCCCCAACTCATTCCCTGTCACTTCCTGATTTACAAAGAAAAAATCCAGAGCTCTTCAAAAAAATCAAATATATGGCTCTGTTTGAACTTGATGGGTTCTTTCATGACAAGATCCCTTGGCACATGCCACCTCTTCTTCCTGGAATATCCATCACCTTTTATTACACCAGTGACCCTTTCAGTCTTCAAAGTTCATATAGAATGACATCTTCAATGCATATTCTCTGCATATATGATGTTTCACCTAATGTAGGCATCTACAATTTTATGCCAAATGACTTATTTTAGATGAACTTATTTTTATAACTTTTCTAAACCTTAAAAAGGGAGGAGATAAATGTGCCTGCCATTGTAATATACTTGTCACATTCCATGAAAAGAATATTGCTCCTAAAATATTTTAAAAGAAGATAATTGCCTGAATGAGGAACAAGACTAATCTACCCCAGTGTTCTAAACAGTGAGTTTTATGTGACTTTGGAGTGAAAAATCCTTTTGCTTCCTAGTCATTCCTTATTTATAGGTCATTGTGTTGCTGTCTACATCTCCTTACACTTCTGGATGACAGTGAATGAAAAAGCGTGCAATTTCTAATTCTGTGACTTGAATTAATCACTTCTCAAGTAAAGTACAGATGTCCTTCTGAAGAATGCCATTAAGTTAATTATAATGCACTTCATGATTGCATAGGCCTTGTTTTCCCTTCATAATGCATAAAAGTTAATAGATGTATATGATAGTAATTTTCCTGTCATAAAGTCTCCTTTTACTAATCTCAAAATAGTTTAAATTAACACTTAAAATTTATGTAGTATACTTTTATTGAAGAGTAAAGGGGCCTGTTCTAAAATAGAATGAGGTTAATGAGAAGTGATAAAACTAACAACCGTATTTTAAGTATTTTCTCCTTTAACAAGGATTTTTTATCTTGTATTTTTCTCTTGTATCACAGACATATTATAAGCCAAATACCATCATTTTATGCGGGATGAAATATGATTTATTCTCCTAGCCAACTAACATATAACAAGGAAATTAACCCACAGATTTGATTAAGTTTATAAAATAATAATACACAGCAAATTCTAAGTTGTAGGTGCTATTTTAAGTTCCTTGGAAAATTATTTGACTTGCATACTAACAAAAACCCTACGAGCAGGTGCCATTAATATACTAATTTTACTGATGAGAAAACTGAAACACAGAGATAGTAATTGATATGCCCAAGATCACATAATAGTGATTGATATGGGTTCAGAGCCCAGCAGTGTCTGCCCAGTGTCTGCCCAGCTAATCTCAAGGCTGTGCTTCTATATCAGATATAAAAGGACCCCTACCATCAGAAATGATGACTGCAAGAAAAGTTTCTGGATAGAAAGAGGAATTAGAACAGCATTTTGAAGAATAAAAATCTTTGGATTGATAGAGATTATAAGTGTGTGACAGAGAGGGGGAAGGGAGGCAGCCATAAGGTAATGAGTTACAAGAACATGGAAATAAAAATACAACATATATTCAAGGGATCATAAAGCAGCAGCTAAACTGGATCAGAGATTTTATTGAGAATTTGAAAAAGATGAATATGTTCACAGTGCTTTGCTGGATATTAATTTTTGATACATTATATAATTACATCTATTAAAATTATATTTATTAATCGACTCATTATCTACATAAATTGATTTTTATATTGACAGTTAACTATATCAATCTGTTATTATTCTTGTGATACTTTCTTCTCACTGACCCCACCATTTTACTAAGATATCACAGTGTCAGGAATTTACTTGCTACACAGCGGACTTTAACAAAAATAACTGTATGTACTTTGGACACTAATAAAAACTTCCAGGTAAGCTTTTCTTAGATAAGAATACTAAATAGAAAAACAGCAGCTCATCCATTGTTTCCTTTTCAGGTAAACCAGTGATGATAGTGACAGAGTATATGGAAAATGGCTCTTTAGATACATTTTTAAAGGTAAGATTTGAGGCATATTTAATTATTCAGTGTTATTTATATATTGATAATGACATTGAAGTTAAAATTGAGCTACTTTAAAGCTGAATTTTAAAATAGATGGAAATACCTGGAGTCAGAATAATTACACTCCAAAAAATTAACTTTGGTTTGAATTTTTTTTCTTTTCAGAAAACTTATACAAATTCAAATTATGTGTGTCTACAGTTTTATATAGTTATATGTTACTTTGCCTGAAAAAGAAATGAAAGAAAGGGGAAAGGAAGGAAGGAAAAAAGGATGAAAAGAGATGAAAGGAAGAAGGAAGGAAGGAAGGAAGGAAGGATGGAAGGAAGGAAGGAAGGAAGGAAGGGAGGGAGGAAGTAGGGAGGAAGGAAAGGAAGAGGTGAATTAAAGTTTGAGTAAAGTCCCAGCCTCCTCAAACTTATTCTCCTTAAGAAAGAAAGGGACAAGGGAAAGAAGGAAGGAAGGAAGGAAGGAAAGGAAGGAAGGGAGGGAGGGAGGGAGGGAGGAAGTAGGGAGGAAGGAAAGGAAAAAACAGAAAGTAAACAAAGAAGCTTGTACAAATATCTAACTTTCTCAAAGTACATATTATCAGGCAGAGCTAGGAAAAACTGTCTCAAAGCTCCGTGCTCATTACCTACAGTAAGGGTTAAATAGACTTATAACCCATCTGGGGCCAGCCTCGGCTTGTGCCCTTGGAGTCCTCATGTGGTAATAGATGATACTGATCCTATATTGTTCAGTCTGTGAGTCTCAGAAAAAAAATATGTTTTTAATGTGTAAGTTCTTCAAATTTTAAATGATGTAACACATCTGCAGGCCTGCTTAAATCTGTGGGCTGGCAGTTTTTCATCTTCCTTAACGATTATTGCTATGGATTAGGAAAGGTGATGGAAAATGGCATTAATGACAATTATAAGAGGGGTCCGAGCATTGAATATGACATCAGCCCACTGACAAGGCGGCTGCTGTCATATTCCCTTCCGTTCTCCAGATTCTGTTGCCAAATTTCTTATACATGTCTTCTAGTTCCCTAGTCTCGTAAAGTCACATCATCTTCTTCCTTTTTTAAAATAATCATTAGGTGAGCCTTTTTCTGTGTGTGTGCAGTAAATTGAGTGCCCCTTAAAAAAACTGCAAGCTTCCAAGAAATGCGAATATCTTTTGGGTCATTCCTCAGCCATTCCCCTCCCATCTGCTGCTGAAGAATCTCCCTCCATCTCCTCTGGCCATTTCTTCTTTACAACAATATGCCTATCAAGCTAGCTTCCTCTAAAGCACCTCAAACATGTGCAGTGTTAACCCTAGACAAGCACCAGGCTGCAGTAATGAACACACTCCTCTGATGACTGAGAGTAAAAGAATTGCAATGCAGAGAAGGGCAATTAAATGGGATTTTCCATAAGGGCTTTCAAAACCCTGATCTGCTTTGATCAAGGAAAGAAGTGATAAATATTACCAACTTAACTATATATTTCCCAACTTTTTTTGTTCTTCTTCAAGTAGAATATGCATATGAATTTGGGGGTAGTATTAATTTGAGATTGAATGAAAACCCTTTCATATTCCCCCCCAGTGATTGGTGTTGCAGGACTAATATTGCTGCATCGTCTTTACAGAAAAACGATGGGCAATTCACTGTGATTCAGCTGGTTGGCATGCTGAGAGGCATCGCTGCTGGAATGAAGTACCTTTCCGACATGGGCTACGTGCATAGAGACCTCGCTGCTAGAAACATCTTAATCAACAGTAACCTTGTGTGCAAAGTGTCTGACTTTGGACTTTCCAGGGTACTGGAAGATGATCCCGAGGCAGCCTACACCACAAGGGTAAGTTCTAACAGAATGCATTTCTGACTCCCTAGACTAGAGGCATTTAATATTTAAAGATTTTAAAGGAAATAGCAAAAAGGGCATTTCTCCAACATAGGAAGAGAGAGAAAAGGAGGGGGTGGGGGAATAAAGAAATCCAGATGATGCTCCTTGTTAGAGATCAGAAAATTCATATATTAAACTCAGATAAAAAAGTATTTACCTAGTAAGCTCAATAATTTATTTTTTTCCTACCGATACTGAAAATAAATAAAGTTCAAATTTAGATCGTATACAACAATGTAAAAAATCATATAATGTTTTAAATATAAAAATAAAGTTCAAATTTAGATCGTATACAACAATGTAAAAATCATATGTTTTAAATATAAAGAATATCCTATATTAAAAACAATAAATATGTTATCTATACATGTACAATAAATATGAATATATACATGTATAGCATTATGGGGTAGCTTAAACTCTGCACTATCTTCTTTTGTAAAACAAATGCAGAAATATCTAAACTTATGTTTTAAGGATTCACATGGTATCGAATAAAAGAGCTATTTCTTCAAAAACTTTTGATTTACTAAAATTATGTCTGATTTCTTTTTTACATACAATGTAAACTGTTAAGCCCGTGTCTTTGGAAAATTGGTCAAGAAATTATTCTAATTAGCATAAATCAACACCCTTTTCCAGCAATGTAATTGGTTCCTGAATTGATACGTTATACAATTAATAAGTCTTTCTGTGTAATACTGTGGGTACAATGAAATTTTGGGGGCAATCTATGTATTGCACTTCTTCAGTTACATCCCTTATGATAAGCTACATTTGTTTAATTCTAAATCTTTACAATGTCCTCAAGTTCAAGATTTAAACTTCTTGTGAAGACAGGAATTTATCAGTGCATCTTTTTCACACTACAATTTGGTTAACTTTGGTTTCCATACAAAGGAACACTTTTGTCATCTCTTATTTTTATGAAAGATGTGTTACACATTTTCTTATTTAAGTCACCTTTTTAAATATCACTTCTACTCATAGCCTAACAATAAATCTAGTCATATATTATAAGGCTTTCTTTTTTATTGTTGTTTTATGAATCAGATCCTTAGAGACTGTATTATGATGAAGATCACATACAAATTATATAAGTAAATGGAGTCTTATAATATGGTCAGCTTGACAAATCAATAAATTAATTGCTGGGATATCACTTCCTCTTTTTCTAGACTTAATTATCTTTGTCATTATTTGCATTAAATGAAACCTCATTCAAGAATACTCTTGGAATTAGTGTTACACTTAATAAACGTGGCCTAAACAAGATTGAGGTTATAGGAAAATCCATTCCCAGTATGACTGCTTGATGACTTAGTTAAATGCATAGAGTAGATTGTCAACGTGTGTCAATGTGTCATGCTGGGGGGAAAGGGAGGGTGAGGGAGAGCAGAGATCCTGAGACCTCAAGAATTATTCCTACGAAATGGGTCAGATAGGCTGCCTGTGGAAAATGCATATACTGAGAGATACAGAGATAAAGGAACACCAGATAATATTGATGACAAATGTGATGGTCAGAGGATCAAGAGAAAAATTCTAGGCTGAAGTTTAAAGAAATCCACAAACTGTAATTTTAAGAGGTATAATAATAATATGTTATGGAATGTCGCAAAACAAATTGCCAGAGCTAATTGTGTGACCACACCTATGGATATTTAACTAACAAAAGTATGTTTCGGGAAAGTCTTCTTAAAGTGGTGTTACCATATTTTCAAGGAGAAAATAATTCATACTTATTTTGAATAATTCAAATTAACTGCAACTCAGCAGTTTCAAGCATTACATAACATTATTATTTTCTCATATGTCTTGAAACTTTGGTTCATAAAGAGCAGTTTTAAGTTCCATTTTTCTAGTATTTGAAATACATTATTCCCTTCTTGCAAAATGGGAAGGCATATGCTAGTCATTTTATGAGAAAATATCCAAAACCTTTCTCTCTCTCTTTCAATTCACCATATTGGTTGATTGATTGATTTTTGCTTATAAATAAAATGTGTGCTTGCTTGGGGTTGCCTCCTTTTAAAAATTATGAGGAAAAATGTTCATCCTTAAAGAGGAAGGTTAAATGTTTATTTTGTGAACAAAGAGAAAACCTACCAAAGCATTTTTTGCCATGTTAAAAGAATCCCATACATAATAATGTTGTAATTTTTCCCCATCATCTAATTTTAATAATTTTTAAAATGGTTGAATTAAATAAAAAACCTACTTCTTAGGTTAAAACGAAAAAACCTATCCAAACAAATAAAAATATGCCAACAGAAAATGAAAGAAATCAAATCTAAAAGAAATTGAATAATATTAGGAAAAAGTATAACTAAGCTTTTAATATATCTGATTTTCATGCTTGTCTTATTAGCTCTTAAACTTCTCTGTCTTGCATTCAGCAACTGAGACGCTCCACTTACAATTCTCATATTAAAGTAGATAAAAAGCACCCAGGAATCTGAGTCTTTTTTTACTCAGGTTGAAAATCATGAAAGTCACCTTATTGATTTGCTTGACTGCTTGCTTTCCCCACTGAGAGCTGCCATTCTGGTACTTTAATTGAGATGTGGGTCCTGTGTGCTCCAGTAGTCAAACAGAATTTAAACCAGAAACCTTCCAGACAGCCAATTAGCAGTCAGTCTACAAGTGCTTATGGACCGATATGTGAAAAGAGACTGCATGATGTCAAACAGATTCACTTAAAAATGCTACATCTCTTTCTAGATCTTTCCAGTGAAACAGCAATAACCCTAGGTACATTTGAAGTGTGTGAGAATTTTTTAAATTCTTTTTTAATTGCAGGGAGGCAAAATTCCGATAAGATGGACTGCCCCAGAAGCTATAGCTTTCAGAAAGTTTACCTCTGCTAGTGATGTCTGGAGCTATGGAATCGTGATGTGGGAGGTTGTGTCTTATGGAGAGAGACCCTACTGGGAGATGACCAATCAAGATGTAAGTATGCAGCTATCCTCACTCAAGTTTGAGATGAAATGCTTAGCTCTCTGTGTCAGGAGACTTATAATAGTTTTCATTTCTGAACATGACAGTTGCTTTAAAAAAAAGAAATACTTTGCTTACCCTCTGATCTACTTTGTTGTTAAAATATCCTTTACGCAGAAGCTCAAAATGAGTTAGCACAAAGGAAAGTAAGTCACTATTATATAAAAGCTCAGTCCCTTGCCAGTTTTAGCTGTATTGTGGTGCTATTCCTCTCACTTAATGTCAGTATCATTTTCAAAGATAAAGAAAGAGCCATCAAAGAATGAGTACTGACAGGCAAGGTTTTATGATTTGCATTTGATGGAGGCAGCTAATACTCTAGTGCAAAAGGATGAATGATATTGACTTCATTCTGGATGCGCTTAGAGGATAAAAAAGGAACAATCTATGTTTTTTTAAATTAAAACATGTAGGAAGAGTTGTATTATCTATTTAATTTAGGGGGAAAATAGGCTTTCCCCACATAAAAAAAAATAATTCATGCTTAGAATTATAGAATCCTAGAATTAAAGGAACCATGAAAAAATCTTCTATTCAAGTTCAGAATGCTTATTACATGATACCTCACACATGACTTTTTTAGTCTTTGCTTTTATAATTTTTCATTGTTACTATTCCATACAGCCCTTTCCATTTTGGATCACCTTTACATTTTATGTATTTCCTGTCTAATAACAATAACAATTATAAAAGCAGCCAACATTTTTGAGGCCTTACTATGGGCCATATACTGCCTTAAGTGCTTTACCAGGTAATATTGTATTACTTGTTTATAAAACCAGTGTATTGAAGTCTTACCTCAGTAGCATGCTTTAAAACATTCTTCTGTAATTATTTCTTTCATCCGTACTCTATAAACTCTCCCTCTCTTATGCCTTCTGGGGTTATTAGTCAGGTACTATCTTTCAAGCCTAATTTTGTTGAAGCAACAGTCTTATGCCAGTGATTAAGACCCACTTTCAGATATAAAAATTCAAGTCCAGTCTAAATGAAAGTCAATACCATATCCATTTCGAAGTGTTTTCCAGCATGACCCTCGGTACCTAGATTGTAAAGGAAGAATGGTCAGATTTTTGCTCTTCCTCCTCCTCTGCCAAAGTCTGTGTCTGGACTTTTCAGGATCTTCCTAGGTAGAGAGATAGACGGGAAGGGGCGATGATGTTTCTCCAATGTTGGGCTGTTGATGCCTCCTGCTCAGCAGTAACCCAGACATTGTTCTTTGTTGAGATTCATGTCTGAGCTCTTCCAAAGGCCCTTGATGAGGACCTCCTCTCTGCAAGGTGTTAGAGAGGATGTACTGAGCTCCTAGATCCTCTCACTTGCACCAGCTCCACACTCCACAGTCTTTCACTGCACCATACACATGTCGACTAAACCTGATGAATGTTGGATTCTCGACCAGTGCTTCCTGTTTTGGATACTACTGCAGGCTTTCTCAGCCAGCCTGCCTTCTTCCAATTTCCTCAGGTGAGAAGCTATGGTCACACTTCAGCTTTCCCAAGAATTATAGTTGACCTTTTAACAATGCAGGCCTAAGGGGCCAAACCCCACAGAGTTAAAAATCTGCATAGAGCTTGTCACTGCTCCAAAACAACTCACAGCCTACCAGTTGACTGGAATTCAATAACATAAATAGTCAATTAACACCTATTTTGCATGTTATAGGTATTATGTGCTGTAGACTTATAATAAAATAAGCTACAATAAAGAAAATGTTATTAAGAAACTCATAAGGAAGAGAGTATACAATGACAGTACTTACTGAGGAAAATTTGCATGTAAGTGGACTCATGCAATTCAAGCCCGTGTCATTCAAGGGTCAACTGTATTTCATAGCATTCTTCTCTGATAGCAATAGTAAACTGGGCTGATGGATTCCTGCCTCTTGATAAGTATACAACAAGACATCTAAAATTGCTTCTGCAGTCATCGAAAATTGCTACAATCGTTTTTGTTTTTTGTTTTTTTCCTGCTACACTCACTTGATTTAAGGGGGGACTGCTGACATTTATTTCTCTAAGTTTTGGAGAACACAGTACGAGTATCTACTGTGCTCAACTTTCTGATATTAAGGCCAGGACTATGATAAAAGTATCATTGAACTCTCAGTATATATTTAACAAACCAAGAGAGGTATTATTAGTCCTGTTTTGCAGTCAAGGAACTAATACTTAGAGAGATTAAATGACTTTCTTAAGGTCAAAAATAATAATAAATGTTATACCATAAACTGAACTTGGTTCTCCAAATTTTGTGTACCTAACCATCACTCTGTCTCTTAAATCAATGTCTACTTCCTCTCTTTCATTTCCAACCAGCGATCCTAGATCACCCTTCAATTGAATATAACATATTCAATTCAGTATTTAATAATTATTCTGGATTTATCTAGTCTAGACAAAGGTTAGATCTATTTGCTACTTTCTGTTTTCCAGATAAATGCCAAATGCTAACTTGAGCTACAGAGTACTTTGTTGTTTTGCTTCTATCTTCTTTCAAGGCTCATTTCAATGCCATTGTTTTGTTTAAATGCTGTGAAAGTATTTTATTCTGTCTGCCAACAAGCTTGGTCCTTTCACTAAAGGAAAACATTTGTCTCTTATTTGTTTATTAGTAATGTCTCACAATTCTGATATTTTTAATTCCAATTGTGTCACTCAGAATTATTTGTACTTCCCTACTAGTTGCATAATATTTATAGACTGGTCATCAACATTATGGACAATTATACCACAAATAAAATTATAGACCAAAGTAAAACAAGATGCTAGGTGAATGCTCATAAGTTTTTGCTGATTTTAACTGGGCTTGTTCAAGTTCCTTGGAGTTGGCTGGTATATACTTGCAATTCACAGGGACTTCATCTTCCGCTGAAGACCAGCAGGCGAGACTAGATGTGAGCTAATTTGTCAATGACTGAAGGGCAAAAATGAGCCCATTTGCTCCTCAGCCTAAAACATATCTGCTAAAATCCCATAATCAAAGTATGGTACATTACACTGTTCACTGTGAATGGACAATATAAAGTTACATGGAGAAGGACATAAAAACAAGGAGGTGTGAAGGATTTGGGACATATTTTTTCCAGATTTCAGCCATTTGAGAGTCTTGATACTTTTCCAGATAATCTGATTTCAAATAATTTAAAAAAAAACACAAGGAAATGCTGATGTAATAGTTTCAGGAAGTTATAAAAATAAAAACTAATATTTTGACTCTGGCTGAGTTTTCTGAGCATCTAAATAAGGTTTACAGAAAAATAATTTTACAGTCACAGATCTTTCTAAAATGCCTGCCTTTGAAAGAGTTCCCAATACATGCTCTGTATTTCCTCAGCAAGTTCACGATCCATAGTGGCATTTAGTTTTTAGATATAGCACTGAGTTTTATATGCCTCAGTTTCTATCTAAATGTGCGTCTGGGCAACATGACAGATCGACTCTATTTGAAAATCGTGATTACTTAATATCTCTTTGGGGGAAAAATACCAGAGAACAAAGTAGAAGTACTGATTTGGCAGTTTTGAATGATATATTCCATAATCTCTACACTCCAGATACTATCTGATTCAGAAAGGGCTTTGCCACCATGAAAATGTTACATTACCCAGACATGGAGAATCATCTACATCCATCAAAGAAGACCTCTGGCTGTGTCAGAGGGAGAGGGAATGCTGCAGTGGGTTTCTTTTGATTTAGGATTGCCTCTGTCATCACAGAGAAAAATCATAGCTATGCATAATAAAAATAAACCAGAATGGCTAGGATGATTTAGGTAAATACCAGACCATGAACTCTCATTCAAGCTTGGGAAGTAAGATAATATCCTGTAGTCAGTAGAAGCTTCTTTATTGATCACAAACATTTTAAATGTCAACATTTTTCAGAACTTCAAACAAAAGCCAAAATAAAAAGAGATTTCATTGCATTGCATTTTTATATTCAGTGACAGTTTTGTTCTCTTGTGTATTTATTGTAAAATATATGACTATATAGATTATATTAAGCACATAGATTACAAAAAGCTTTAATAACTCATTAAGTTATATGTTTTTCAATCTCCTAATGTTAGAATTACGTGTGCCTTTTTTGAGGGGAGGGGTAGTGTTCTATTACTATTCCTGTTGGCTACCATCTTACCTATAAGGCAGCAAAAATATTTGCCTCCAAAAGAATATCAACCCACTTTGTATGGGCTATGCCTCTCTTCTTTCTCTTCTTTGTTTACATTTTCAGTGCTACAAAAGAGGTAGATATAGGTGTATAGATATGCTTATATAAATATATGTGATTCTCCTTATATTGTTGGAATAGTTTATGGTAAAGCAAATAGAATATTTTATGGTAACACACAGCATGTTACAATTAGCTAAAGTATGAGGACTTTAGTTCTCATCCAAATACTGTACATTTCCAAGATTTGACAGTGAGAAAAGTATTAAACTTCTTAGCCTCAGTATAATAATGTCTATGTAATAATGAGTGTGTTTGACCAACAAAACGTGGTCTTCTAAGATAACATTGGTCCGCTAAGGATAATGCTGCCCTTGGATGCAAGCAATTATTTTAGGAACTGGTAACCACATAAAAATTCTGACTCCTTTGGAAAAAGTGATACATATTAGTAAATAACAATCTACAGTCCAAAATTTCTGTACCTTGCTATTTAAAAACAATAACAACAACAAACAAATATATTGAACTGAAAGTCATTCATCTTGGATTCTACACTGCTTGGTCAGTTTCTATGACTATAAAGGAAATGGACTTGAATAAAAAGATTTCTAAGATCTCTTTAATCTCTGGAACTCTAGTGATCTAAGATTGATGAACTAAGAAAAAAAGCACATCCAATATATCTTTAATAACTATTGGCAATAGAAAAAGATCATAGAAGAAATTGGTATATCTGAAAATATTTCTGTGGTATCTGAGATTATTTACAGGAATATA